ATGACATGATATAACATATATATAATTGAGACATATACAATTATAAATGACATTCCTATGATTATATTGATGAATTATATGGATAAGCTTATGAATACTCATAAATTGATGAAATACATGTTTAATACAACAGTATGATCTCTACATTACATTTCCTTCTTTTTCATATTTTATACATTTATAGCATATACATGTGTTGTGGATAAGTGCATGAATCACATACGAGCATACATATTTCTTTTCTGACTAAAATCTTATCCTAACATTGATTATTACGCTGAGCTCATTGTTGTTCACTCTAATTTATTGACTTACAGGAAGGGGTAAGGAGCTCCAGGTATGTACTTTTATTATGTTGGATTTAACAACTCTGTGTAGAATTATAAGTTTTGATGATATGATTTTCATGTTTCTATATATATGTAAATATGAATGAATTATGAAATGAAACGTATCCAACATGTTAGGGACAATTTAGTTATATTAGTTCATCATTTAGTGGGTCATGATTCTGCAAGTCAGAATGCATTTGGTGAGAATTAGTCTAACCAATCGTCTGCCTTTGTTGCACCTCAACCGACTGTTAAGGGGAAAGTGCAGTTGGAGTGTGACGAGTGAGTGTTACCTAGGAAATAACAAGCTCTGTATCTTAAACACCAAATATTTTTTTACTAAAAATAATTGGAAAGATAGACACTTAGCTTTTTTCTATTCTTCAATTATCAATGAATTCTTCATGAACATTTAGATGCTTGCGAATTATGTGATAAATTGTCGCTTAAAAATAGATTTAAGCAATTTTCAAGGAGAAAAAAAGGGAACCATCACAACGGCACCTCTTTGAATGAGGTTAAGAGAAGTTGGGACTTCTTTACGCCAATGATTGTGAGGAAGGAGATAGTCAACCTGAAGCAAGTAATATGATCAATTGGATTCAATTTACAAAAACATAAACTATGATTGTGCCTCAAGAATATAAATTGAAAAAGCACTGATAAGCAAAGCCTAAAACATAAGCTAATTGTAATGAAGGATCATTGTTGTACTTTCCACAGGAATGCAGGTTCATCATCTTAAATTGCTAAAGCAATAGCTCTTTGGTTTGAGATCGCGTTGAAGCCTGGGAGAGAAGATAGCACTTTTGGGGAGTGAACAAGAGTAGGGGCTAGTTGAAAGTGCTAAAACACCCTATATAATCCTCATCAAATGACCGTCTAGGTTATATAACTACTCAAAAGTCATGTAATCATTAAGTTTCTCATATTGAAGAACATGTCTCAATCTTTAAGATGATCCATCTTTATTTTTTGCTTTATATATTATCCACAATCAACACACCTTCGAGAATGTTAAATTCAATGGTGTTTATGAAAAGATGTCAAGAAATTACTAAAGAGATGAAAACAAAGAGCATAAGGGTGAGATAAAATCTAAGCCTCAATTAGTCTTCCTAGATCTACCTCTGTCTTTCTTAACACAAGTCTAATCTAAAACATCTACTCTCATAATAAGATCATCAGATAATCTTTCTTAACATAAGTCGAATCTAAAACATCTACTCTTCTAAGACGACTTTCTCTAATTTTGTCCGTCGCAGGAGCTACACCAACCCTATCACGAATATATTCATTCTGCATTTTGTCTCTAAGCATTTTGTCTCTAAGTGTAATTAAGTGTAAAGCCACTCATCCACCTAATCATTCTCATCTCGGCAACACTTAACTTATTATTATGCTTCTCTTTTAAAGGCCAACATTAAGCACTATAGAGCATTGCGGGTCTCACCACCGCCTTATAAAATTTTCCTTTCAGTCTTAGCGGTACTTTTCTATCATACAAAAGGCCCGAAGCATTCCTCCACTTCAACCAACCAACTTGAATTCTACTATTAACATCCCCATCAATATCACCATCGCTTTCAACAACGGACCCAAGATATTTAAATCGTTCACACCTTTTAATAATTTGATCAAACCAACTTATTAAACCAAATAACAATGAAAAAATAAATATTATTACCAACTTCCAATAGAAAATTACAACAAACAAACATAAATCTGAAATTGCAACAAACAACAACACAAATTCACCCTAGGATTAGATCCAGAGGTGGTAGTGGTCAGCAAAGTGAATTGGTAGGGACAGCAGGCTGCTGAAAGAGCAGAAAAACAGCAAGCTTGTTGTTTTCTAGATGATGGCAGCGAAGGAAAGGGGGTGGCAAAGGTAGGGATGGCTGGAACAGCAGGAACCCACAAAACTCTAGTATACATATCTTTAATGACTTGAATATAAGTCTTATCAACACATTTCTTCTCAAGAACTCTCCAGAGGATATCTCTTGGAATCTTATCGTAAGCTTTTTCTAAATCAATAAAAATCAAATGTAGATTCTCCTTATTATCTCTGAACTTCTCCATCAAACCTCCCAATAAATGTATAGCTTCCATAGTAGACCAACCCGGCATAAATCCAAATTGATTATGAGAAATCTTTGAGATGCGTCTTCACCTATGTTCAATTACCTTCTCCCATAACTTTAAAGTATGACACATCAACTTAATTCCTTTATAATTTGCACTCTTGTGCATCCACTTTATTCTTAAAAATGAAGACCAATATTCTTCCTCCACTCCTCAAGCATCTTTTTAGTTTTAAAATAATATTAAAAAGTGTAGTAAGTCAATAAACTCCCAAAGCTCCCATATATTTCCACACTTCAATTGGGCAGGTCCTACAGACTTTCCACCATAAGTTTTCTTTAAAGTCAATAAAAATTCAGATGTTACAGATTTACTAAATCTTATTTAACGTAAATAAGAAATGCAGCCAAAAAACGTCCATCCACTTTATTTTTAAATCAAACAAATAACTTCCAATAATCAAAACACTGCATTTAATTTACATCACAATCTAAAAAAGTAATTTTTGATTTTCATCTTTAATACACTTTACTTAGTCAAATCTTTACTTTTCTTTTCTCTTTGTTTGGCTAGTTTATATATATATTTTTCACTCTCCTTATTATCTAATATATTATAAAGATCTTTAAAAACAGAATTTTTAGCGTCACAGATTGTTCTTTTAGGCTCCATGCGGGCCGTTTGATATTTTTCTCAGTTCTCTAAGCTTTTACATTTAAACCAATTTTTATAACATAACTTCTTATATTTTATCTTTTCTTGAACATTATTATTTCACCACCAACTATTTTTATGTATAAAAATATTTTCTTTTGATTCTCCAAGCACATCTTTTGTTATTTATTTAATAGTGTTTGTTACTTTATCCCACATAATATTTGCTTCTTCATGAATATCCCAAATTTTGAAATCTTGAATTTTACTCATAAAAATAATTTTATTTGTGTATTTTAAGTTTCTCCATCAAATTTTATAATGATGAGCCCTACTATTTTTTATTTTACAACTTTTAATCTTAAAATTTAGAACTAATAAACAATGTTGGGTACTTAAATTCTCTCTTGAAATGACCTTAAAATCTTTAAAATCGCGACGATCTCTTCTTCTCATAAGAAAATAATCAATTTGTGTTTTATTAGATTCACTCTTATAAGTAATAAGATGCTCATCTCTTTTCTTGAATAAAGTATTAGTAATAACAAAATCATACGCTAAAGTAAAATCTAAAATGACTCTACCTTCTTCATTATTCACTCCAAAACCGTAGCCACCATGAATATTTATAAAAC